AGGGCCTTCAACATGATTAAAATTCAGTACTGCAATACAAATGAGATTATTTTCAAAGGAGGCATTCCCCCCAAACAATATTTTTCTAACCTTTGTCAACTCAATATAAATTTGTGAATAGTGTTTGGATAAGTAAATTATTGAGTAAAGATAATGTTGCATTAAAGAACAATTATATCTTAGAACTTTGAGTTCATATATTTGAGGAAAAAAAAACAGCCATGTAGACGCCATCGAGAATTACTTTGAGATTTAATGAGAGGGGACAGGTGGTCATGCAGCAGAAAGATGCGATGTTCAGAAAGGGAATCCCAAGTGAAAAGGCCTGTGGTTCAAGTCCAGAGACCTCCCTGATTACACTGAGCATATGCTTGTCCATGATCTGAGGGTGACTGAAGGGTAAGGGTGAATCATGGCATAGAAATTCTGTGGAGGGTGCACTCTGTTTCTCTAGATCATGAAAGAAAGAAAATCAATAAAAAAGATTTAATGCAAGCCAGATACTTCTAAATTATGGGTTAAGTAAGCTACTTTACAGTGATTTTAAGAGAGGTTCGGATGTTAGCGATAGCAGGTATTCTATTCAATTTCGTTTGATATAGTTAAATTTGATCTTACCCAAAAGTAAGGGCTAGAATACTGGATGGTTTTTTTAAGCCTCTTTAAGTCCTATTGGCCTATTAAATTACTGGTACTCTTTCACATCCTGCCCTCCGAAAACAATGGTCATTATGATATTCAAGTCCTTAGGTAACAAAATCAAAACCTCTCCTATTCACCTGTGTGTGGATGACCCATCTGACACACTGGCGTCTCCCTTCTCTCCTCATTACCAATGGCGTATTCTTCCTACGCCTCTTAGTCCTACACTATTATAGGCACACCTTGAACCTTGTCAATAACAGAATCTAAATAATAATGAAACTGAAAATGAAATCAGGGGCCAGCCAGTGGTGTGGTGGTTAAGGCGAGTGGATCCCACATGACCGACTGGGTGACTGGAGATGCAGTGGCTTGAAAAACACGGGCCACGTGTTGGTACATGCCCCAAATCCCGAGAGAATGGAGGAGAAAGGATGGAGGCATGGGCATCTCTCTTGAAGAGTGATTTCTGGGAACCAGCAGTTAGCGTAATGGCTATGTCGCTGGACTCCCACGTAGTCGACCGCGGTTCGTGTCCCGGACCCGGTGGCTTAAATCTCACGCCGGGCGCGTGTGCGTGCGTGCCCAAGATCCCGAGAGGAGAATGGAGGAGAAGGGATTGCGGCGTGACCATCCCCCCTGGGGGGTGATTTCTCGCTTTCTGTCTCTATGTCTCTCTCTGTCTGTCTGGCGAGCTCACACGCCCTACAGTGAAAATCTCTCCCCCCCCCCAAAAAAGAGTGATTTCTCACTCTCCCTCCTCCCACCCTACTCTGTCTCTCTCTGTCTCTCTCCAACGCACACGCCCTGTAACAAACTAAAAAAGAAAATAAAAGTTTATCTATATATGAATTGATATGCCCCCAGCACACTTGCATAAACCATCATGTTGAAAACAATGAGATATCCTCATTGAAACCTTCGCTCAGGTTTATGCCATAGTTATTTATGTGACTCCTTATGTTGAACCCTTGACAGGATAAAGGAATGGAGGACAAAGAATTGTAGCATGACTATGCTTCACTGGGGGTGCTTTCTCTCTTTCTCTCTGGTGAACACAGATGCTCTCTGGCAATTAAAAAATTATACATATATGTATAAATATATATATATATAGAGAGAGAGAGCGAGCAGAGGGAATGATGATATGGAGGTATTCACAGGATTCAGCTAGACTAAGTGAATGTTCTCATGTCCATTGTGCTCAGCACTTGGGGACCTTCAGAAAAGGCAATACCCCTTGCTATAGACTGAATGGTTGTAGGCTCCCCAAACATAGGCAATGATGCCTTAATCCCCAATGTGTTGGCATTTGGAGGCGGAGCCTTTGGGAGATAATTAGGTGTAGATGAAATCATGAAGAGGGAGCCCTCGTGATGAAGATTAGTGTCCTCATAGGAATAGACACAGACCTTCCCTTCTCCCATCTCTCCTCTCCATGTCCCCTGGCCATGAAAGGATACTGCCAAGAAGACAGGGATCTGCAAACCAGGAAAATGACCCTCACCAGAACCTGACCATGGTGACAACCTGTTCTTGAACTTCCCAGATGTCCGTTGTTTAAGTCACCTGGTCTGAACAGTCCTAACAGACTTAGACACTCCTGCTCTTGAATTACTGAAATGTCAGCCTCATCTGAGATTAAAAATGTGTTTAATTCCAAATCTATATCTTATTTTTAAGCGAGACATATTTACATTTATGCCTTTATTTAACAATACTTTTAAAACTCCTGATAACAGGTTTTCCTCAGTAAGATTGCTTCCTATTGTTTTTCTAAACTTTATCACATACATTCTTACTATGAGAGCAAAAGCAAGATTTATCATTGTCCTATTGAACTTGATGTAAGCGGCCAGATCCAAGATGGGAAAAGCATGAGGTCAAACGCATGAAACTGAGTTAGCATTCCCAATAAGTTTTGCTCCTTTCCACTTTCTCAACAAGGGTAGGAGTCAGGGAGAAGAAATGTGAGAAGGTTAAAAAGAAAATTCAGTTCACACAAGAGAGCTATATGGTAAAGAAAAGAATGTGAAAGAGGCTGAACAGAAGGACAGTAAAATACTGGGAGGCGGGACAGAAAGAGGTTTTCCACCTGTATGTCTTCATTTACTTTTTTAAGAATTATTTTATTTAACTTTGTTTATTTAGTTATTTAATTAAATTTGACCAGAGAGGGACAGAGAGGGAGAAAGAGAGGAAGTGAGAAAGCAAGCCACCAGGTCCAGGACTTGAACCAACGTTGATGATGTTGGGAGTCCAGCGCTCTTAACCACACCACCTGCTGCCTCTCCACCTGTATGTCTTTAAAAACAGACCTCTATTGGGAAAAAACCCAAATGGGGGGAGGCAGTAGAGTTTAAAATGGTTAAATTACACCTCTTCTAAGCCTGCGACTGAGTCGTTATTAATTCTACCAAGCTATTTGTTGGTATTATGCCTACATTCTCATTCATAATTAATGTGTCTTGGTGCGAAGTACTTTATTAAATTATGAGATATTGTTGCGTCTAGACTACTCATCAGATTTATCCCTTTTCGGCCCTGGTTCAATTCTTCCTATCTTTGTTGATGGAATAACGAAATACACGGAACTGAAGCCATAAATCAATAAATGAAGCTTCAACTGTGCTTGCTTTTACTGTTCAGTATCTGGTGGAAGGCAAGGCCGCGGCTATTTCGGGGGACATCTATATGCCAGGTGTCGCAGGTGGGTGCGATTATCCACGTCCAACTGCCCACGTACAGCCCGGCGTGGGTCCCCCGCGTGGGAGCCAGACTGTACTCTGAGGCCCAGGCCTGGAGCGCCCGGCTCCCGACTTCCGGCCCCGCCCCCTCTTCGCGGTTGCTAGGAGACGTGATGTCACCGGAAACGAGGCCCGGGATAGGCTGAGGCGCAGGGAAGCCTCTCCCCCTCGGCCACCTCCGCGCCGGGCGCTGGGTCTCCAGCTGTGG